TCTCCATGAAGTCCCAAAATTAACAATTATAATGCTTGCTGATGATACAAACCTATTCCTATCAAATATTAACATCGACAAACTTTTTTATGATATGAACATTGAACTAATAAAAATATCTGACTGGTTTAAGTTAAATAAACTTTTACTCAACATTGATAAAACTAAATGGATTTTCTTTCATCCACGATTTAAAAAACATTTACTTCCAAGTAATATGCCTCTTCTTCATATTGATAATATTCAATAAAAAGAGTAGTTTTCACAAATTTTCTGGGTATCATTGTTGATGAAAATCTATCATGGAAGAATCACATCGGACATTTATGCAACAAAATTGCAAAAAGCATTGGAGTTTTATATAAAGCAAGAAGCGTTTCAAATAAACATTCACTAACTCAACTATATTACTCTTTCATACACTGTCATATTAATTATGCTAATATTGCATGGGGTAGTACCCATAAAAGTAAATTAAAGCCACTTTATTGTCAGCAGAAGCATATTGCACGTATTATAAATTTCATAAATCGTTTTACTCACTCAAGGTCACTTTTATTTAACATGAATGTTTTTAATATATTTCAAGTAAATGTTTATAATGTTCTTTGTTTTATGTTTAAATGTAAAACCAACTCTTCTCCAGCTTCCTTTTTTGATTTATATTCTTTAAAAGAAAAAAACAAATATTCTTTAGGAAATGATAATTTTATTAAACAACCAAAATTTCAAACAAACTTTGGTAAATTTTGCATTTGTTTTCGTGGAGCTTTTTTATGGAACCAAATATTTTTAAAAAATTTTGATTTTTCTCATGAATGGAATTATTATATGTTCAAACGAAAACTAAAAAAAGTAATATTCTCAATTAAAAAAACATTTATATACTTTTAATTTTACCCAGTTTTGTCAACACTCATTTATATTTTACTTTCATACAATATTGATTTTAAGTTTATGTCAGAAACTGTAGTTAAACATCATTATTTAAATTTTGTTAAAAGTTCCACTGACATTATTTGTACAGTAGGCATTTATTATTTACTTGTTTACTTTAATTTTTATTTTATTTCGTAATTTTGTAAATAATTTGTATTACGAACGGTATATACTTTTAATATTGAATTTAATTTTGTAATGAAATATATATATATATATATATATATATATATATATATATATATATATATATATATATATATATATATATATATATATATATATATATATATATATATATATATATATATATATATATATATATATATATATATATATATATAAAAAACAAAAAAAAATAAAAAATACAAAAAAAAAAAAAAAAATACCAAAAAAAAAAAAAAAATACAAAAAAAAATTTGATGTATGTGACTGGATGTATCTAAAAACATTGTATGTATGATACTTTCGGAAGTTAATCATCCTTTGACAGTGGTTTAGCATTTTTGTCGTCAAAAACGTTAACGTAAATGCACCAACATTTGATAATTATGGCTTCTCAAACAATGACACCATCATTTGGCTATCTACATTCTTCTACATAATCTTTTGGACAACTCTTGAAGTGCATTTGGATGTACCTAGTGCAATCATATTCTTATTATTTTCGTTTATTTATTAATTAATTAACAATTAAGATCAGTGTAACTGATGGATTTGAGTAACAAGAATCAGTGATCGAGTCAGATGCGAGACGTATTTATTTATTAAGAATACTATGATATTATTGTTTTCGCTTGAATCATCCGGTTCAGAAGAATTATTACTTTAATTCCAGCCATAAAGACCATAACTTAAAAAAGTTAAAAACTTGTGTTTATTTATTTTTGTTTTTCCTAAAATCTAAACTAAGATCAAAGTTCTTCAACAGCGGTTCTCGGTGACAAGACCTGTATGGTCTTCTTTGAGTATCTGCGTTCTTTATCTTAATTCTTTATTTTTTTGTAACGATTTTTTTGCATGTAAATTTTTCTTATTATATATTTGTAAATATTGTATTAAATATTGTAATAAAGAACAAAAAAAAAAAAAAAAAAAAAAATTTAAAGTAATTTATTTTAAATTAAATTTTAAATAACTTATTTAATTTTTATTGAGAAACTTTTTTATATTGTATTATTATTTTTTATATTTTTAGATAATAATACGTTTTACACAAATTAATTGAAAATAATACTTAAAACCAGAAATAATTATTTAGGTTCCTTTGGAAGAGCGCTCCTATATAAAAGACCAAAGGGAGAAAATTGGTACTAAAGGAAAGTTTGAAAAAGAAGATATTAATAAATCTGTTTTATCACCTACCTCAAGAAAAACAAAGCAAACAAAAGCTTCTCATGAAGAAATTTATATTAAAGTGTTTGACACAATCATGGATTCAGATCAGGTAATAAATTGTTCCCTGTTAACTTTGATTGTATGATAAAAACTATATATATATATTCTTAAATTTCTGAATTCTTTTAAATATAATGCTCTAAAGTTGATTAGAACATCTTAAATATTAATACAATTAAATGTAAAATTTTCATTGTTATGATTTTTAATTTCTCAAAGTTTTGCTTTATTTTTTCTATAATTACAGAGTAAAACTTCAATTTCATCATTAAATCAGACTAGATCATAGTGCTATAACACTACCCACTATCCCAAATTTGCTTTAGAGGTAATTAGATATGGAATATCAGATGAAGCAGCTGCGGCTGTAGCTAATGCTCTACTTCAAGATATTGGTTATCTACATCTAATTCATGTAATTGATCCAAGTAAAAAAAAATTAAAAATGAAGAGAGTAAAAGAACGAGTATGCTTTAATGCTAGTTTTGAGCAATCTAAAGTTTCAAATATAAAGGCAATTGGTTTGGATAACAAACATAATAAAAACTCATTTGTTTATGAACAGAGAGATATTGACGGTGAAATAAAACTTTTTAAATCTACCAGCACTGTAGACCACTTGACATTCACAACTTAATCAGGTAAAGG